ATAATGTGCAAAAATATTTACTTACGTCATCAAGAATTAAATTAGAAACTGTTTAAATTTTCAGTCAACAATATTGACTCAACATTTGTAGAATGCAAGAAGGAAATAATCACAGACAATTGTACTTTTGGGTAAAAGATAAGAGTATTATTGTAAGAGTTTATCCTTAAGTTTAAAGACTATTATGTAACACAAGGCAAATTAAATACTTAATATGGTCAAATTCTCACCGGAAGAATTCCAGGAAAAGTCCTGAAGAATATCATATTTAGTTAAGCAGCAAAGAATCCATAACATAGTATGACAAATTCATAGTTTCCCCACAGTAAAAAACAACAAAAATAATGATTATAATGATTTATTGAAGACATATGATGTGTTTTATATTCCTTTAAGTATATTATACATAATGCCTCATTTCTTAGAGCAATACTATGAGATATTTTTGGTCTCATTTAAGAGGCAAGGTAATTAAAGCCTGGAAGGTAAAACAACTTACCCAAAGCCACACCTTATCACCTTCAAGATAGGTAAACAATTTGAAAAGATTATTATAAAGTGTCCTAAATTCTTTCACTTAAATGGAAACTGATGGAAGAGAGTAATTCCAGCAGACGGAAAAAAAAAAATAATGATGCATTGAAAAGAAATGGAGAAGGACACAGTGGAGAGGCTCCAGCTGACACTCCAAGAGCACAGGAAAGTGATGCGGAGACCTAACTAGGAGCAACGGTGAGATCACTATCCTGAGGGATGGATGGAGCTTTGCTCTTAGTGGGAGGAGTAAGGGGAGTATGGGTCAAGTCTCACTGTTTAAGAAAGTCGTAAAGTATCTTTTGGAAAAGATGTCCCCACAAAATCTGTAATGTATAAAACCATTGTTTTGATTATCAATATTTTGAGCCACTTACCGTCCTGACAATCTTTGATAAAGAGCATAAAATGTTGGTGTCTACTTCTGTAAGCCCCTCTTTTTTCACTTTTCCTGTTTTATTGCGGCCCTCTTGCTCTTCCTGATCCCGAAACAAATTTATCTCCCTTCCATCTGCTCATCTCCTTACTTATTTACTTGTGAAAAATATTTGAAGTATCTGTCCTGTCAATTCTTTTATAATCACTTTATGTTGCAGATTTCTTTATACTTTACAAATTCATCTTTCTCGTTATACTCAAATTCTCCCTTGCTACACTTCTATCATAAAAATGTTTTCTCTTTCACGTAGAAATGCCTAATTAGGTTGATTTTTGCACACCAGATAATACATTATTTATACTAATTTCAATAAGTCTGATTTTGAAGGTTTATAATAATTCTGCTCATTTATCTTAAAATGACTTCTAAATTTAAATAAGGATGCAAAGGGAACTGAAAATAATACTTGGAAACGTGATTCATTTTGATATATTTATAGGAAAAGATAAATTTACCAGCAGAAAAAAAAAATCACCAAAAGTAACATTTTACAGATTTTTAGTATCAAAGCACAATACATTTTTCATAGAAACAAATATATCACCATTATAGGTACCATAATATGACAACATTTATACACAAGGCCATTTACCATTAAGAGAATCAGTGGCAATGGTGATGTGATACATTAGTCCGTCTTTGTTAAACTTTTTATTATTATACTTCCTGGCCTGCAGGAGTATTTGCCAGGATACAAAAGAAAATTTGCAACCTCAATTTTAACAATACACAGAAAGCTCTGGCTGCCCATCCTGGACCCTACATTTACTATATGATCAGTGGGAATGTTTTCACACCACTAACTCTGACTTTAGTCCATCATCTACTTAAGACCATTCCCCAGGAATCAGACATTTTAACAGATTCATTCAGATATTAAAAGATTTTATACAAAATAGTAAGTGCAATATCAGAACTTAATATTCTATATGACTAAACAGAAGAAAAAACTGTACAGGCATTAAGTAGAAAATCGTTTGAGATTACTTGAACTAGGTAATGGCATAGCACTGGACTGAGGGAAATGTGAAGATAAGAGTTCTTTCAACTTTAGAGTTGACCTCTAGAAATGCACCAGATGATTTTCGGAGGGCCATTCACATTCAATATTTAGATTCATTTCATTAGTGGCATATATAAAGCACCATATAGTATATGAAATGTAGAACAATCATGAATATGTAATTAACTGTAGAAATAACTGCTAAGAAAATATAGCAATATTTAACACAGGATTTCTAAAACCATTACATTTTCATTACTTTTCCCAAAGCTAATGTCCCATGTTTTTTTTTATAGACTGTCTGTTGTCAAGATTTATATGCATTTGGCACTTTTGGGGGATGAAAATAGTTGCTATCTTCTGTACAGTAATGTTACAGTTTTATACAAACTTCAGAAATATGGCATTTGGAACAGTCTTGATGATCCTCCTCCAAGTGTTCCATTTCACACAACAGCAAATACTCTGAATGCCTTTCCTCCTGGAGGATTCTGTAAACTGCAAAAAATGCAAAAATACATTGATGTCATCTTCACAAATTATTTTTCCAAAAAATCATGCTTTCTTGTGACAGTGAAAAGAGCAGTTCTCTGACTATGAATCCAGATGGTCAGCTTTCTTAGGCTGCCCTAATTTATTGCTACTGGAAAGCTTGGTTGAAGATGACATAATTCCTTAAATCTGGGTTGTATGCCGAATTGCGAGTTTACTAAATACATTTAAGATGTGCAGTGCTAATAACAGTAGATTCTACAAAACTTGGCAGATTCTAGGTATTTTTATATTTTACCTTATTCGATTTTAATAATGTAGAGTAAGGCAGCTGTGATTCCATTTGTACCTGGGGAATACTGAGACTAAGGTTTACGAGTCATGTGCATGGCTACAAGTTAAACTGGTTGCTGATACTTTGGCAATGCTTCAGAGTCCAGCTTATTTTGGTTTCCTACATTTGACAAAATTTAAATTACATTGCTATCATATAAATTAATACCCTTAATAATTTCAAGAAAAATGACAGGAAATGTAAAGGTCAAGTCTGAATGGACCTAAGAATTTCTTCGCTGAAATGAACAAATAAGCACACACACAGCATTTGACCTCATTTTGGAGGTACTTTAAAACAGAAGTATAAAGTAATGCACAGCTGTAAATTCTACTTTTTATTAAATTGTTTCTATTTTATTTGGCAACATCGATCAAAGAATATTTTCTTTAAAGTCCTAAAGTTAACACATTAATAGTGCCATTAATCATTATTAATTCCCATCAATTGTAAACTTTTAAAGTTTTTACATTTTTGCATATAATGTTAGCATTTATAGAACTGATGTTAAAGGGTTGTTGATGGAGCTGAGTTAATATTATTCTTTGTTTTATTAGGTTATCATCTATGATTTTATGTTTTAAAATAAATTTAAGAAATATGACAGGTAAATGAAACCCTACCACTCAATTTAGCTGGTAAAATTGCCTATCAGATTGTGTAACTCAAGGGTTTGTTTTATGTATCATGTCAGTGTACGGAAGCTGTGAGCCAGGGTGTAGAGAAATCACCTCCTCACCAATGGCCCCTTGATAGAGTCTCATCTCAAGAATTCTCAGCAGCTCAGAGACAAGCAAAATACAGATTTGTCTTATGAGGATACCCAGATGATTATGCAGAAGGCACTCCAGTTACCCTGCATGGTATATCTGGGGCTATCCTTTAGAGAAATTACTAAAAATGCTAACCTTCCAATAGCAATTTTGCAGAACCCAGGAAAATACCTACAAGTTTCCATATCTATACAAATAAATGGAACTTAATATTACTTCCATAAGTAGTAATGATTTTGAAAAAACCACCAAAGGTCCATTTCTCTTGTTTATTATTACTTCATGAAGTGGGTGACATGAATTTTCTCCCGTGACTCAAATACATAACTCTAGTCGGCTACATAGCATGAGATGACCTGAAAGAGTTCACTTATATCATACTAGGCATCCAAAGTCAAATCAGAAAGAGAACTTGGTTCTAGGAAAAATCAGACTCATTGTTCTTCTCAAATACTTTGTCAGATAACTGGATTAGAGAAATATTCCGTGTCTTGCTCACCTAGAAAGAATGAAACATAAAAACTAATCTAGAAAATCCGAAAGAGGATGAAAGAAATTTCCTAATTATAAGATCAATTAACAAAGAGTGGTTCTGACTTGTAATCCGATTTTCCTGTTGATTTTTACAAGCTCGCAGGAGACAGGCACCTCTGGGACTACAGCTTCTCCCATCCCTGGAAGCCTGTTTACTGAAGTGTGCTAAGGAAACCTACAGGCTCTGCCCCTTCACCCTGAACCTCCTTACAGTGAAACGGGTCCACTGTAAAGCAATCAGAGAGAGAAGAGGGGATGGTATATGAAGAGATGGGTGGTACGTGAAAAATACATCCACCTATACATGTTTTGTTCTGTGTTTACCTTTCTGAGAAGATTCCATTCTGAAAAGAAGCAATATAAGTCTTTCTTTTGTCCACAGGCATAACATCAACGTAACCACCATGATTTCGGACCACCCCAGCGTGGACTGCGGCTCTGCAGATACTGGACAGCTAAGGAGGCAAGGAACAAAATCGCCGTTAGGAAATCCCCGCAGGACGTGCCAAGCCCATTCTTCTTTTGGACTAAAGTCACCGAAATGTGTCTCTTTATTGACATCCACTGAGCAGCTACAGGATAACGTGAACATAAAGGAATGATTCAAAAGTCAAAACGCAAGGCTCATTCTGAGAACCGCAGAAGGCAGACCTTGAGGGGGGCTGCAATGATAAGACCTTTCCCTTTTCTTTTTATTTTTTTATATGTTTTTTGACCTTTACCTGTCCAGTGTAAACTGTAGGCTGACTGGAGGGATCACCTCTATGGTTTGCCTTACAAGGGTAGAAGTGAATCTTTCTAAAAGTAGAGTATAAACGTCTTAACACAATAACTAAGAAAATGACATGAAGGCTATGTTAACCAGTTTGATGAAAATATTTCAAATTGTATATGAAAACACCACACTGTACCCCATGATTGCATTAATGTACACAGCTATCATTTAATAGAAAATAAAAAGAAAAAAAAAAAGAGCGTCAAAGCAAGAAAAAGGCAAATCAAAGCCTTCTACATCTTCCAGGTCCCACTCGTCACTCTGTAAATTTCAGCCTTTGCTAGTTCACACAGGAGTCACCATGGCCAAATGTTGACAGGGCAGATTATTTATGTCTCATTTATGCTTAGTTTTCCGGATACAAATTCAGTATTAGTTCTGTATGTACTAGTGTACATGAGTTCTGTACATGTCAATGGTCCTTTTCCCCTAAAATACTGATACATATTAAATGGGCAGTTACTTCCTATTAAATAATATAATCTATGCAGAGCAATTTTGCCTAAAAGAATTGCCCTAAAAAATGAAGAACGATTATAACTTCTACCTAAATTTGCAGAGCCTAACACCCTGGTTTGAAGGCTTTTTCATAAAGTTAACAGGGGATGTCCTGAAATTATATTTTGCCAGTCATATAATTTGGGTTGACTATGATTTCTATGGGAAAAAATTATTGTTTAAGGTCAGGTCTAATACTTTCACATTTTTGAAACTGACTTCTAAAAGTCAAACCATTTCTTTTTTTTTTTTTTTTTTGAGACAGTCTCATTTTGTCAACCTCAGTACAGTGCCGTGGCATCCTAGCTCACAGCAACCTCTTGGGCTCAAGCAATTCTCTTGCCTCAGCCTCCCAAAGAGCGGGGACTTAACATTAAAAAGATCTTTATATTTGCTTTAATCCAATGTTGAACTAAAAGTTTTCAATAGCTGAGTATAGCCTGAAGACATCCCCCAAAAGCAAATACTTGAACTGTCTCAGTGAAAAGCAATCTACCTCATATCCTCATGGGTCTTTTCTGATATCACTGGTTTGTTCTTTTCTTACCTCTATGCATATGTGGCTGATTTACTTTGCTTTTTTAAGTTCACATAGCATGTACATCTTACATGACCTTGCTTTATTACTGCTCTGTGAACTCGACAGCATCAGTCAGTATTTATCAGATCAGAGAGCCTGAATGCCAAGCTGTTTAATCCTTTTCATGTTTTTGCTATATCATGAAATGCCATAGATCTAAAGCCTGTATCTTTACTCTGAGGAGGTCCTTTATTCACCATTTAAAGTCCACAATGAATTAATATTTGCTTCCAAAACGGTTCATAACAGATTGAATTAAAAATAATTCTGTACACAGTTTTTATTGTGTTCTGTTAAAAGGGTATTATCAGCATTTTTTCCCAAGGCAAAAAGTGCTTAGATATAACATTCACTAAATCCAAGCATTTAAAGTGTTTTGAGACTATTGTTTTGCCTACAACTATGCAGTCAGCAGGCATTCCTATTTGAGTTCAAAGGTCAGAAGACATTTTCTTTTCATACCCACACTTGGTGAGAATTAATATGATGGAAAGAAAGAATTATCTGTGGAAAGAGTAGTACATTTTAATAAATGCAGAAATTAACTTAGTCTGAAGTAAACTATAAAGGTTCAAATCAGTAGAATGTACAATTAGAAATGGAAAGAGAGAAGAAGAAAGACAAAGAAGAGAAAGAAGAGGAAGAAGAGGATGGTAGGAAGGAATAGAGAGAGAAAATGAGAAAGGGAGAGAGGGCCAGAGGCAGGGAGGGAGGGAGGGAGGCAGAGAGGGAGGAAGGATCTCAAACAGACGCAGGACAAATCTAAGTACAAACGTGAGAGCTACAAGATACAGCAAGACACTGATAGGCTACAGATAGATGTAAACCTTGAGCTTGACAGAGGTTTAGAATGAAAATAATTTCAAAGTTAAAGCTAAACCGAAAAAAAAAAAAAGGGCCTAAATGAGGTCACCAAGAGGAATAGGTGATGCGGTATATATTTCATACTTCTTTACATTATCAAATTCCCTTAGCGTTCTACTGAATGTGTGCGTCAAGAGATCAAGAGGGTAATTCCTAAATTTGTTTTTGTCTTTCTCTGGCTTAGAAATCTTGAATGGTTTCTAAATGTCTGCCACATAAAACCTAAAGTGCACTTCCAGCCTCTTTACCCCTGGAGAGCTGGACTCCTCTGTCCTTCAGAATGACTTGGTGCAGCCCCTCGTAAATCCAACTCTCAGCCTCTCAGAGACAAGCAGAGCTGTTTTCTAGGCCCACGTGCAGCTCAGTCACTCTCATCTCTGTGTCCTTGTAGCTGCTACTCATACTCATCTCAACCGGAATTATTTTTGAGGGATGTTGATGATTAGCTCTTCTGAGAACATGTGGATCAACATAGCCTAGTTTCTTGTTCTGGGTATCAGTGCATATCTTTACATTTAAATGTGTGTGCAGACAAGGAATACTGAGAGCCGTATAAATTAGCATACTTACGTCAGAGTAAATCCGAGTTCCAATCACACGAGCATAATGTGGATTTGCCTGCATACAGTTACGAGGGCAGTATACTCTGAAAAAAAAAAAAAAATACATGTTAGGATCGTGACTTCAGTCTTTGGTATTAGTAAAACCATAGACACGCAGACACAAAAGTAAACTCAACATTCTAAACCCTACTAATTTTTTTTCTCCTTGAATTGTACAAACCAGGCAGCAGACACTATTGCTTCTGTTTACTTTATTTACTTCCATCTCCTGGCACAAATGCAATTTGTTTTAAGTTTAGCTAGGAAGCTTTCTAGTGTAGGGATTTAAAGCAGAAAGAAACGTCATGAAGCATCTCTGTGTATTTGGGAGTTGAGTTCAGTACCCAAAGTGTCTGCAGAATTTAGTAAACAGATAACTTGGAGACATTTCAGTTTCTCTTCTCTATGTTCACATCTTTGCTATCTAATCCAATTTCATCATTTCAATTATCAGCTGTAAACTTTTGATTTTCAAATTTGCATCTCCACTTGGGATTTCTCTTCACTCCAAATTTGTATACCCTATTGCATATTCAACATGCCCACTTAGACCTAATCAACATCTTGAGCTTAGCATGCATGAAACCACAATTTAATCTCATCGCCTAGTCCCCAAATCTGTTTTGTCTGTAGGCTTCTCACTGCAATAAATGGCGCTTCCATGATTCCATGTGCTGAGGCCCAAATCCTTTCTTCTACCCTGGGTCTGTCTCTTCATCTCACACCTCACATTCAAACCGTCAGCAATTTCCACTGGCTACACATTAAACATACCCAGGATCAGAACAACCCCTAAGTGCCTCAGTCATGGAAACTCTAGACTCCGTCACCTTCTGTCTGAGTTACTGCAATGGGCTTCCCTATGATCTCTCTGCTTCTAAGTTGGCCCTCCCCAACCTATTTTCTACACATATATTCAAACATACAAATTAAACATGTAATTACTTTGCTTCAAAAACTCCAGTGGGTTTACATCTCATACAAAATAAATCACAGACCCTTAGAACGGTCCAGAGGCCCTGTACCTTCTGTCCCCTCGTCACCTGACTATATATCCTCCTTCTCTACTTCCTCACCCTGCTCCAGACATATTGGCCTAATGATTCTTCCTCAGACACACACAATAAGATCCTGGCCCCAAGCCCTGCGCTTATCTTCTTCCCTACAGGGAATGCTATTCCTCCGGAAATCCTACTGCCTTCCTGATCTCATTGGCTTAGCTCAGTTAAAAGTAATTTCCAAAAGTTTTTTTTTTTAATTTAAGCATAATCAATGTTCAATCAGTCACATGATATTTAAAAAAATCATTTGCCAGAGTTTAAAAACTATCAAACGGCACTTTTAAAAAAACCAATGGGCTCATTCAAACACAGGCACACACACCCGTGCACTAAAAGGAAATATAAACTAAAACTGAAAAAAACAGAATTCACTGTACATAGAAAACAAGACTTTCAACATAACAACTATGTGAAAAACACTGGTGGAAGATGCATCAGTGACTTTCCCAAAAGCATCCTAAAAACACTTCCATGGAACTACCCTGGCCAAATGAAGCGGAGATTTCTTAAAATAGTTTGTAAGAAACAGCTAGTTATTATTTATAAAATGTGTATAACATTGTACACTCTAGTATATATATATATACATATACACACACATACATATCACACAACATCTAAACCAGAAGCATTTAAAAATAAGTAATAAATGAATCTGAGTTTTCATAACTTTGAATTAAAGGGTTGATTGTTAAAAAAGATGCCGTCTGGGGTTTCTGCTGGGGGAAGGGTGTCTGTCCCCTCTGACTGGAAAATGATCTCATCTTATTTGAAAACTGCTGGGCATTCACTGCCAGCCTTGTGACTGTAAAACTATCTGCTCCGCCCTTAGGACCATGCTGTGCAAACTCCACCTGGCCCACATTTAGCACTTGGTTTACAGAAAGCCAAGGTCAGTAGTTCCAAGTTGATTTAGTTTCTACTTAGAGAAGTTCAGGTAAAACAAAGACTTGGGGAGGTTTGGCTTGTAATCTCTATTTTTGACAGCTTGTTACAAACTACTGAGCAAGTAGGGCAGGGGTCCTCAAACTTTATAAACAGGGGGCCAGTTCACTGTCCCTCAGACCTTTGGAGGGCTGGACTGCGGGCCCCGGAACGAGTCAGCTGCTAAGCAGGACAGGCAATGGTGGCAAAAACACCGGCAGGCCAGATAAATGTCCTCTGTGGCCCACGGGCCGTAGTTTGAGGACCCCTGATAGGGGGTGGTCTAGTAAACATTCAGCACTTTCAATGTGCCTATAAGCTTTGAATAAAACGGCTGACATCTTTTAATGATACCTACTTTTACATCTTGCGCATTCAATGGATTTTAAAAACCTAATTGTTTATAGATATATGTACAACAGGATAAGATTTCCTATGAAACATACACACACAAACACACAATTTCTACAAGGTTATGATATTAAGTAATGGTTTATTTTGGGTTGTTCTGCCAGTAATAAAACGTCTCAGGGACATCACTATGCAGGTAAATCTTGTTTCCTCAAGCTTTTCTTGAACTAATTTCCTTCAATTCATTTGATTTTATCCATTTTCTCCAGAAAGTTACCAAAGATAAATAATTTATGAAATGAAACTATCAAAAATTTTATATGAAGAAAATACAAACGTTGATTTTACTAGTCTCTGAAATAAAAAAAAAAAAAAAGGAGGTGAACTGTCCAGACTACTTAAGATCAAAATTAGGTATAAATTATTATTTCTATGGCTTTATTATACTGGTGATAGTAAAAGCTAAAGACTAATTTTTAAAAATTTATATCATTTTCCTTTTTTATTTGATGTCCCCCTCCCAGAATAAGCCAAGAAACACAAATCTTGTATATCAATATTTTACTTGAATAACTTTACCCTTTTGGAACACCACTGATGCAGATTGTTTTATAGATACAAAATGATCACGATTGTGCGTTTAGTTCAGGAAGGCTTAATGCAGGGATGCTCCACAGAGATGATCCACACTTGATTCTCCTAAACCTATTTACATGGCTAACACAGGCCCTAGCATAATACTGGTATAATGTAGGTATTGAATAAATATTTATAAACACATAATTCTAAAACTCCTGCTTTTTACATATATTGTGATGAAAACTTATCAGCTTCGCTTAACAATACATTTTTTTCTTTCTATAAAAATATAATCTATAAGTATACTGGCTTGAGAAATTTGAAAAAAAAATTCTACAAATTTTTCTAAGATTACAAAACAAACCATGATTTAATCTAACTTGTAAGCCTTATAAGGACATAATTAATGAAGGCCTAGTAAATGGAAATTATAATTTTTATAATAAAAATATTTTGCATATAATTCATTCGTGGTCAGGTGGTAAAGAAGTATAGGATAAACCTCACACAGTAAGGGATCCTCAAATTATTCCACCCACTTTGTAATCTGCTCAATTTGGTAAAGACACATGTTGAGTTATTTCAACATTCTCAAATCAACATACATCTAGTTAGCTGACCATATTTTACAATACTAATCTCACATTAGTGAAGAAACAAAAGATTAGGTAAGATTATGTTTTTTAAAATAAACAAGTTACCTATTCCTTTATATTTCTCTACTTACTGGTAGAAAAGCATGCCCTTGTTAAATCAATAACACAGTCTTCTGCTAAGAAGGTTCCAAACTCATTCGTTAAGTGAACTACTGCATTAGTTTTAAAAGGGTAAGTAGTCTTCCTAAAGAAAATAAACTCCATAAAAATTAAGCTCCTTCAATTTTTTAGCAAACATAGTTTGTCAAATTATAACTCTTAAGCTTCATTACTAGTTTTTAGAAGTTCGCTGGATAGAACTAAGACTGGTTGTATAGGGACATGCTCCCTTTCCCTGCATACTAAGTATGGTTTATGGCCATAATACTTCTAACAGTGTTCATCACAGCTTGGCAGAGAAAAATAAATTATTTTTTCTCATTATTTATAATAGATGAATCCCAATATAACTTTCTAAAAGAGAATATACAAAACAAAAATTAAAAAGAAGAAGATGTGTGTTTTTTTAAACTTATATAATACAATCAGATTGATCTAAATTAGGAACTCAATAATAGGGTCAAAAATTATGATAACAGTTTCTTTCTTAAGAATTTTCTATGGATTGAATGTTTCCTTCCTTCAAACTTCACATGTTCAAGTCCCTATCCCCAATATGACTGAATTTGGAGACAGCCTTTATCAAGGTAATTATAGTTAAAAGAGGACATAAGGATAGGTGCTTTATTCAATAGGGTTAGTATCCTAGGATGATACTAATGGGATGGGATTAGTATAAGAAGAGATACAAAGGAGCGAATTCTCTCCTCAACCATGTGAAGACACAAAGAAAAGATGTCCATCTCCAAACCAAGAAGACAGCCCACCCCAGGAACCCCGTCTGCCAGCACCATGACTTGAACTTGCCAGAGTCCAGAATTGTAAGAAATAAATTTATGTTACACCAACCAAGTCCCAGGGATTTTGTTACAGAAGCCCAAGCAGACTAAGACAGGTCTCTGAAGCACACAGGTAAACACACAGATGACAGTCATACACCCTGATATTATGGACTAAGAGAAAGTGATTTTGCATTAGAAAACATATTAGGTGAGCCGGGAGTCCATGGGGCTGAGATAGTCCATTGATTCCTCTTGCTTCGCAGGGCAGGATTACACATCCTTTGAATCTCAGAGATGCAAGAAATTCACCCAGAAACAATTATCACAGTGCTGAAGCCCATATATGTTCAATGGTTTAAACAAAAAAGACAGAGAGAGAGAGACAAAATCTAGAAAGCATTACCTTGGGCAATGTGAAGCAGGCTTATGAAACGGACAGAGCTGTTCCACAGTTGTTTCACAAGTCACAGCTTGAACTGGGGAAATAAAACACAAAACAGTAAGTGAAAGTGATAACATGCCATACTGGTGTTAAGAAAATAAGATGAAAATGTACTAACCTGTTACTTTAGAGACTGTGAAGGAATTAGCAGACTGGTATTTGCTGAAGAGAACAAGAAATGTCCATCATTTTCTTATAGGCATCATCGTGAGCATAATTTCTGGTATTTTATGTCTACGCATACTTCATTTAAAAACATATTTTTATTAAAATAGCCACATAGGAGCTCTTTGCCTACTGCCCTGGCCATGGAGACCTGTTCATCACTGTCTGTGGGGAACATATCCTGCTTGGTAAACTTCCTTACTCTGTAAGCCTATCTTACTTTTCCTCAATAAACTTTGCCTTACTTTGGAAAATAAAAATGAAATAAAAAATAATAACTACATAAGTAATGATATCAGAATATATCAGTAAAATTTTATGCTAAATTCATAAAACATTCGTGTATGAACCAAATCGATACTATTCTTAATATCAGAGGCTGTTCTCTTGTTTTTATTAATTTCAAAAAATTATAGATAATAGGATAAAGCAATACATATTCTATAGATCTTACAATCATATATATGTAAAATTACATATGAACTTTACAGCCACCCTGTGTATTTGTTTACTATCAAAATTAAAACTCTCAAATACTAGGTCCCCATCTCCACAGAATCAAACTATTTGATCCTTCACAATAGTAAATACAAAGCAATGTTGTAAAAAACTACAAAATAATAAGTACCTTAGGAAGTATGCATTATTCATTTCTAGAACCTAGTAAATTGTCTATAATACAAGAATGACCTTCTCCTCATTATATGCATTATTAAAAAACAGAAATATAGGATTAGGTATCCCTCATATGTCAAAATAGTCATTGGTTTGGCCCATATTTTCAGCAAAAAAAAAAAAAATCTATCTATCACAAAAGGTAAGGTGTACTTATGATGGTACTTAAACATTCTGAACGTTAGTTCAGGACTGAAGCTCTAACATTTCAACAATCATTTATTTCTGTTAGCCTCAAATTTAATGTTAAACCTTTACCAAAAGAGAATTATTGTTAATGGCTGAAAACCCACATCAAACCTTTGAACAAACTGTATACACAGGAAGTCAATCCACCAATTTTCAAGAGTTTTTAATTGTTTATATACTTAACCCCACTGTGAAGTTCATGCGATTGTATAGTCACAAAGAAAAGAGAGTATCTCATATAGCTTAAGGAAAGGCATTCTGCCTGAGGTTCCATAATGTTTGTTGCTTTCCTTAGAAGAGGCACTACAAAAACATTTTAAATGCCAGTATCTTTCTACTTTCTACAGAGTACATATAAAATTCAGTGTTACAGAATAAGGTATTTAGTATACTGAATATGAGAAACATTTGAAAAGATAACCAATGTTTTTGAGTTAAATTACACTTAAATGGATAACAAAAAGATGACGGACAGCATATTACGTATTTAGAGAATTTTTCAAAATGCTTTTTTACCCACTAATGTACTTTAACATTATTACATTTAACAGTAATTCAACAAAGTTACCATTGCATGAAATAAGCCATTTTCCCTCAACAGGGCAGGGAGAACATGCAAACTAACCTTTCGTGGGGTATGGGTCTGTCACAGTTAAAAACTGCATTGCTTTACATTGGGAATTAACTGTAAATTTATACACACGTCTACTTCTTACTTAAACTTGGAAATCTGGAGTATCCCCATGCCTATTATAAGCAAAAGTGTTTCAACTTTGAATTCAGATGCTATTTCTTCTTTTTGTCTAGGGAAATTAGGTAGCTAAAATGAACTTTGAAAAACACTGACTTTTCTTAAATTCTTCTGGGCTTTCCTCTAAAGAATGGCTTATCATTACCATTTAAGATCATCTGGGTACTTACCCAATTGTTTGAACGCCATTTCTATTGGATTTGATGAAATAATGTTTTCTTCCTTGTCTCGTGATATCTACCCAACCACCATCATTGTCTATTATACCATAATGGATTGCAGCTCTGCAGATGCTGGATTGCTTGGAGAAAAGGAGGAGATAAAAGGATGTTAAAATATTAGGCTTCTGCGTAAGGCACAGTTACTTACCAATTATATGAGTTTAAATGACATAAGATATTTCTAAACAAAATATCTATACTAATACAGTTGTTACTGTTCACATTTAAAAAATCAAGTATAATCCCAAATAATTACTTTTATAATACTTACCATCTCATAATGTACACTGCCAATAACTTTAGCTTTACTATCCAAACACCCAGCAGGACACTCATACCTAAATGAATACAATTGGAAACAAAATTTAGTTTATTTGAATGTCAGTATAAAATAAAAAATATTTCTTATGTTTTGTCAGTTAATTTTCAGAATGATAAAACAAATTACCTATTGCAAGTTGTTCCTTTACACTGATCTCTTAATCTTACTTCACAGGAAACAATTTGGGCTAAAAGGAAAAATACGAAATAAAACATCAAAATAACTTAGAGAATATGAATTTTCTAAGTTCGTTATGCTCTAATTTGTTATATATGTTGCAGGGACAAGTTTATTCCATTCCACAAATATTCAAATTAATATTATCTTGAGGGATATGCCATGTAATTTTTATGTATATAAAATTGCAATGCTCACGTCTGTAATCCTAGCACTCTGGGAGGCTGAAGCGGGTGGATTGCCTGAGCTCAGGAGCTGGAGACCAGCCTGAGAAACAGCAAGACCTTGTCTCTAAAAAATAGCTGGCCACTGTGGCAGGCGCCTGTAGTCCCAATTACTCAGGAGGCTGAGGCAAGAGGATTGCTTGAGCCCATGAGTTTGAGGTTGTTGTGAGCTACGATGCCACCACACCCTACCAGGGGGAAGAAAGTGAGACTCTGTCTCAAAAATAAATAAATAATGCAGAGGTCTTACACATTTGCTGTGTGCTTATTACTTCATTTCTGTTACTATCGTCCGATCTCGTCCGAACGTGGGTGTCGTGGACCTGTGTCTGCTGCCGTTCAATTTCATTTGTTTCTTCTTCCCGTGGAGGATAATACCTGTCTGACCCCTCTGTTAGAGAAAACGGATTTAAGAAATATTAACGCCGTGTTATATTTGAAGACATGACCATATAATGATACACTTTGATATTCCCATTTCACATTTAAAACTAGAAAAATCGGTACTGTTGTTGGCACAGGTTTTGGTCTAAGGCAGTGATCTAAAGTACGGCATCAGAACCAAAGAAGGGTACACGTCAGCCTTGGAGCCCCTGCTTCATTTGTGTTAGTTTTTGGCTAATATTCAATGGAGTCACTTTTAAACTAAATTTCCTTATGTTTCAATAGACTATCAGTATTTTGTTTACACATTAACATTATGAAATCTACATGGGGATCTAATAAAGTCGGGGTTTAGGAACGTTGCATTTGTTTTCCCAAATAAAATTGGATTCTCTCAATATTTTCAAAGAATCATATTCAAAATTCACCCAAATGGAAATTTGGTCTATAGAAATATTGACATGCTTGTTATTTACTACAATATCCATTTCCATGGAAAGGTTTTCTCTTTTAGAAGGAAATGCAAATGTGTAGAAACTTAAACTTGATCATGGAGAATAACTCCAAACTCTGAATTTAGTTCTCTTCCCAGATTTACCCAGGGCTTGACAGTGGCACGCTTTGGAAAGAGGTGTTTTCATGTGTCCTAGGTCTCAGAACACAGAAAAAAAAGAGGAAGTGAAAAGTCATAAACAGAAGAAAGTTAGTTTTAAGTAAAATATTGGTAAAGGAGCAGACAGACTGGAGGCTTTAGGGGGAGACACTGACATAATAAACAATGTGCAAATGTTTCCAAGAATTTCAAAACCCCTTATACAACAGAGGGACACATATGAGAACTAACTGTCCATACGTTATAGCTCATTTAGCATTTAGTTATTAGGGAAAAAAGAGACGCATCTCATTATGAGCACTGAAAAGGGCTGCAATTTTTCAAATATTTTCTAATACATTCAGTCTACATGTTTGCTCATTTAATAATCATTAAGGAAAAAGTACGTGGCTGTAAAATGTTCACTTCAATGCCCCAGAGTATGACTTTTCAACTTCTGTTATATACGATTTATCTTCATCTGCTACAGACACCATACATTATGTACTTTTCAAGTTATCAAATGAATGTGATAGCACTACTTTTATAGTAGTTTTACATTATTAGCATATATTTTTTGTTATTTTAGCATGAAAAATCACATTGTCTGTAGATAGAAATGTGGAATCAGTAAAATGCGTTGAGCATGGTTCAATAAGATATACAAAGGGGGATTTTGGCAAAAACTTTTAAAGTGCTAAAAATAACTTGCTAAGTCCTTCAAAAACAATTCCAGTTATGGAAATAACTCTAGTCAACAATAGAACAAGGTGACTTTTAACAGTATCTGTATACTTGTCAGTCTGGGGTCAAAGGAGAATTAGAAGTAGTTATCTGAAATAATGAAACTTTCTCTTAAACTTGTATCAGTATAGTAAGACTCCATAATACACATATTTCTGGAAGTTTTTTTCAAAATATTTGAAATAAAGTTCTGGAAACTTTTCATGTAATAATTAAGTGCACTTTGGCTTTTTTAACACAAGTAATGCAGACGCTGTATTAAAACACAAATTCAGTGAATGTTAAAACATCACAGCACTTACCCTTGTAGCACAGATTCTCTCTACAGCCCCCTCCAAAACTAGGTGGGCAAGCAGAACAGGGTCGTCCATGTTTGTAAGGGGCGTGACCCCACCAGTTTCCCCTTCAAGAGATGATTGAGAAATTTACTATAAACTCAAGGGTTGCATCCTCCCAAACCTAAATGTCGAGGGGCAGTCTAACAGCACCATTTATAAGATATTGCAACATATCACTATATTCCAATATTCAAGTAATTACTTTTGTATAGAGATTTAAGACATTTATTTCTTTAATATAGAGTCTTTTTGGTTACTGGGTTTAAGTTTAAATTGCTGTCTCATTCTTTTGAAAAATTTCGAAGTACTTTGCTACGTATGTAGTCAAAAATTAGAAAATCAAACTTCTGTAGAAAACCAAACTCTGCTATCTATTCACCGTCACGCCACTTGTTTCAATAAAAACAGATCTGGCTGGGTGCGATGGCTCATGTCTGTAATCCCAGCACTCTAGGAAGCTGAAGTGTGCAGATGGCTTGAGCTCAGGAGTTCAAGACCAGCCTGAGCAAGACAGAGAACCCATCTCTACTAAAAATCGAATTGATGCCCCAACACTGTACCCAGGGTGACAGATGAGACTATACAGATCTTATATTTAAATTTGACTCTGAGTGTGTAATGTTTCAAATGTAATCACTCAAACGGTCTTTACACAGATGAAAATACATTTCTCAGTTATTTAATAGTGGCCAATCTCTAATAAATCTAAATTATTAAATATTTATGGAATAGTATACTGTAATGAGTAAAACTATAAAAATATAATTCCCTTCTTCATAAAAATCATATTTTCAAATTTCTTGTTTCCTTTAAGCATTGACTTTACGTATCAGGTAACTATAACTGTTTCCATATTAAATAAACTGAATTAAAATAATACACTTTCCTCAATAACACACACTGAAAATGGGACAGCATCAGAAATATAAAATTACTTTCATGTTAAGAAAAATTTATATCCGAACACAGTGTTTTGTCTACTTACTTTGGAGAGTAATTGCACACCAAGTAGACAGCTTTGGGCCATATCTGACCCCAGATGTTCATGTTATGACACAAATTTATGGCACAGCCTATTCTGCTACTTGTTGCCCACACCACCTACATTAGAGAAAAGACAGACTCAGAAAAAGCAAGTTGAGATGAAATAAAACAGAAAAATGTATAAAATCTGAACTTGAAAACCCAACATTCAATCAATATCAAAAGGGTATTTTTTCCTGAGACTTTGCGTAGTGCCTAATTCAACTTAAGAAAGACCTCTATAGATAAATAATTGTAAGTGGCTATAAAATGCAAGCATTTTCAAACACAAATTTATTATAATATTCAAAAGTTATATCGTCATAAACCTAAATGTCAAAATAATGTTCCTATGAAGACACTTGCCCTACAAAGGAACAGAATGTCACTTTCTAAACATACTAGAGGAAAAATTTCAGAGTTCAAATTCCTCATATAACACAATCTTTGCATTGGGCAATGGTTATTAGGAAGTTAATGCTGATCTTAATCCCGTCACATGTAAAAGCACACAGATTGATACATCTGCTTCACATTCACTGGTGACAGGGTACAGAAATTCTGCAAACTCAGTTCAGTGTTAGGCTGAACTGACCTAGCCTTTAGTTGTTTGATTTAGTTTAAAGCATACCAAATGTGAACACTAAATATTAAAAAAAAATGCTGCCTACACGTAAGGATTGAATATCATTGGCAAATGAAACTGTGTTTTTATTCTTTGGAATAAAACTTTGACTTTAAAGACAATAGATCTCTCCATACACATTTATTGGGGGCATATTACAAATGTTTCATATGGAAAATACTTGAAATATGTCTTTTTAAGTAACTGTTTGGGCTTTTAATTACTATTATTGTTTGTAGAAATTTGTAAGCCTATTCTGTTTAGTCAATAACCATGTGTTGTTTTTAAATAATCATATCAAATGACATAAGAAAGATGCAAGTTCAGTAACCTAAGTCCCCCCATAATTGCACAAACTTAATTTGGAGGAATGGTGTAGATACACCCCAAACATACCTGTGTATAATGTGTGCAGACAGGTCCGGAACACCTGAATGGACAGTAGGGGTTGCACTCATGTTCATATGGGTAGCTAAAGTCTCTTACTTCATCATACCATGCTTGTACATGAAATGTTGGGGGCCTGTATCTATTAGAAAGAAAATAACCACAAAAAGCAAACTAAGTTAGAGGAAATGTCAAACAAAATACTGCAAAATAGAGCAGTAAAGTTTGGAAGAAATTCATTTTTGTAAACGTTACTAACCTTAAATATTTATGCTTATTACATTACTAATATATCAGTGATTTCAAATAAAACTAAATAAAAATTTCTGAGGACTCTGGGAGTTTTTGTTATCTGTCTCATAACTGTTTTTCTTTTGGGCACCAAGCTTTTAAAAGTTTGCAATAATTAATTAATAATCTTTCATTTCAAACACTGTTTCCAGAAACAAAAAGCTGCACTTGAAGATACCTTCCCCAGTGTGCTCCCAAGTTCTGTCCGATTGACGGAAGCAAGCCTGCTGGTCCATGTTCCCACACACACGTCTCAGCCCAGGATTCTGCAGATCTTTCAAGCTCTACATCCCATGTCTATAGTTTAAAAGAAAAATACAATGTGCATACATAGAATTTAGACCTTTATTCACAATACATTGTTGATCAGTTCTTAAGCGTTTTTTTCCTTCTCACTTCTTTGCAAAGTCAACATCTTAGTCTGGGTTCTTACCAGACTCAAAAGTTACCTAGATTTTTGCACCAACCTCTAAATCAGTGGTTCTCAACCTTCCTATTTCCAACTAAGGCCACAACACTTTTACAGTTCCACATGTTGTGGTGACCCCCAACCATAAAATTATTTTTGTTGCTACTTCATAACTGTAATTTTGCTACTGGTATGAATCGTAATGTAAATATCTGATATGCAGGATGTATTTTCATTATTACAGAGAGGTCACAACCCACAGGTTGAGAACCACTGCTCTAGATCGATATCCTGGCCTCCATCTCTTGCTTTTCCAATTTGCCTCACACGTGTTTAGAATTACCTAAGTGAGGCTCAGCCCCCTGTAGCACAGTGGTTATAGGGCCAGCCACACGCACTGAGGCTGATGGGTTTGAACCCAGCCCGGGCCAGCTAAACAACAATGACAACTTCCGGGCGTTGTGGCGGGTACCTGTAGTTCCAGCTACTTGGGAGGGTGAGGCAAAAGAATTGCTTAATCCTAAGAGTTTGAGGTTGCTGTGAGCTGTGATACCATGGCACTCTTCTGAGGGCAACCTCCTCAAAATAAAAATAAAAGAAATAAAAATGAAAGAATTACCTAAGTGAACACAATGTACTTACGTGTTTCCTCTATCTAAACACAGTCAACCAATTCCTCCATACATAAAGTCCAAGACGCTTGGTCCCACTGTCTCTAGCATTAAACATGCGAGTCCTGCTCTGGCTGGCATTGTTTCCTCTGTCTAAACATCCTCCTCTCAATTATTTGTCACACAGGCCTTTACTTCTCTTCAAAATCCAGCTTTATAAAACCCTTCCTCCGTGACACCTTTCAATTCTCCTACAAGTATGCAATTCCCCTCTCAGGGCTCTTACAGCTTTGTTACATCGCTTTGTTTAGCACCTACTCCGCTGCAATGTAGGTATTTGTTTACACATCTGTCTTTTTTGAGACTGAATTGTGTGAGGGGTTACTTAACTTATGCTGGTACCTGTCATATGAACAAGATAATTAAAAAATGCTTGTTGAATATATAGATGATTAATGAATCTGATTCTATAAATATAAATGTCTTACACATAGCATAAAATGATTTTAAAATAATTTATAAAGAAATAATTTAAATTACTGAATAAATTATTTCAGTTCAGTGATTACTGAATCAATCTTTCAAGTCCAGCTTTAGTTCTTGACCTGATATTAATCTGAAAAACAGGCAGTCTAGTAACTGTGATGGCAGAAACACAGAATCAGGTAGACCTGGGCTCAATCTTCGCTCTACATTACAGCACTCTGGGCATGTTAGAGGGTGGGAAGACGGACCTGGTAATGTAACTTGAGAACACAACCAGAAGTGATAGCAGTGAGGTTAGAGAAGAGCGCCAGGTAAAATATTTAGGAAATTTAAATTCCTAGAAGTTGATGACTAGAGGTAGGTTGTGAGGCAAAGTAAAGGTGAAGACTGATAATGTTACCAAATCAGAAAAAAGGAAACAGAAAAACAGAATGTCGGCATAGAAGGGTGTGTTTATATATTCCTATGCACATTTCAGGGGTGTTGTAAGAAGGCAGGTATGTCAAGTAGATACGATTAGGGTTCCAGAGAAAAAATTATGCTCTGAAGACAAGAATTTGGAAGTTTTTCACCCAGAGATTGATTCCTTTAGGAATGTGATATAGAATGAAAAGAGGAATACACAGAAAATTCTGGGGTTATAAAAATAGAAGGGGAAAAAAAAGAGAGATTGAGTAAGAACTCAGGAAATATCGAACCACACAAGTTAAAGGAAAACTAAGAGAAAGTAGTCAGGTAAGAAATTTCAGGAGTAGAGAATGTGCAAGGAGGTCAAATGCCACAGAGAATGATGACATTTGCTTAGTACTAATTCATGATCAAGAGCAGTTTCCAGTCCATGACAGCTGGAGACATCAGAACACCGAAGGCTAATAAGCAGATGGAAAGAAAAGGCGGACAAGGCAAGTATGGGTTACTGACTCAACAGGAAGACAGGAGAAAGACAGGTAGGGCTGAAGGTATAATAAGATACCAGGATAGGGCGGCGCCTGTGGCTCAAAGGAGCAGGGTGCCGGCCCGAGGTGGCGGGTTCAAACCCAGCCCCAGCCAAAAACTGCAAAAAAAAAAAAAAAAAAAAGCCAGGATCTAGAGAGAATTTGTTCACTTGCTTTGATTTTTAAAGAATGGAAGAAAACTGTAAAACTACAGGCCAAAAAGAAAAGACACTAAGAAGAAAAAGACAAGAAAAAAATGTTTGGTGAAGAGAAGTTTCTTCATCTATTCATTTAATCTTTCATAAATAAACATTCTTCCCTATTCCATTGTGGATCTGAAATATGAAAAATCATGTTTTCAAAGTCACAGAGTAAAATTCATACAAAATTAGAATAAGCATATTTACATTATGATGCATCATTTTTATCCAGCAAAAATGCCAAAATAAAGTGTATTGAAATGCAGCCAAAAACCTAACAGCAGCAAGAACAGGTGATTGTCATAAAATCCTTAATTCTTCTGTGAATTAATGTCAAATCCTCAAAATGTTCAGTTTTATGACAGACATCAGAAAAGAATGATATAAATAAATGTTTATCAGTTAATCCTTTATTTGCTAATTATGGGAATATTAACTTTATTACTTAAGTTCAAGCTAATTTTGTAATTATATTGTATTTATTATACAAAGATATAACTTAAGTTGTGGTCCTTATTATAATATTCAAAGAAAAATTATGTGAGAAACAATTTGAGCAAAATGTTGATTTTCTTTTGTATCTAGAAAGTCAGAGAAATAACGATACATCTCTCAGAAGTAAGAGGGTTGGAGTTCCCTGGAAAGCAAGGTGTCCTTAAGAGAAAAAGAAATTCTTTTCTTTAATCCTAAAAATCAGATTCTCGCGTAGTACTTTAGTCACATGCACAGTGAAACTTCACTAATCTAACAACCTCATATTCAGAGTACCCAGGATCCAGGGGAAAAAATACAAACAGTTCCTAGATGGCTAAAAGCATTGCCTTGAAACCGCGGCATGCGATGGTTTAAAATACCCTTTCTACCAAAGGCAGAGCTGAATTCCCTCCTCCCTCCTACAGTGATAGTTGGATAGTGACTCTCATCTAATAGGATCAAGGCAGTGAAATTTCCTGGGGCTAGGTTAGGAAATAATACTTCTCCTATTTCCTTTTTTAAGATTCATCTTGACAGACCTGAGCCAATAAGTTAAGATCCAGTTATCCTGAAGAGGTTGCCAGAAAGATAATGCAGAGAGACCGCACAGAGACAGACACACAGAAGGTGCTCTGGTGGTCTGAGTGCTCCTAGCCCAGGCCAGGTGGGAGACTTGAGTCTACAGGCCCTCAGATGATGGCATCTCAGACTAGGACAAATGGGAGAGACCTTAATTGAGCACCAACCAGCTAAGCTCTCAGAAAAGCCCTCCCCTTACTCAAGGTAAATTTACTTTTCTTTTACATGAGAGTCTACAATCTTAGAGGTCAGTTTTTCCTATAAAATTGAAAATAGATCCTTTTTAGCAAGCATATATATAACTAGTTCTGAATTCACAAATCTGGTAAATTTTACATTTGTTTATATCTCTGTTGTGTAGAAACTGGAATAAAAACCTATCACTCAGATGTGTCAGCTCAAATAGAAGGTTAATTGGGATCACTTCAAGGACTTGAATTCAATTGCTGAACATATACCATGGATAAAATCTGTTTAAGATATGATTTAATATTTTTGTTTAATCCATTAAAATAGGGGAAAACATACTGAATAAACTATCATATTGCTAAAATAAGGGCATACGTTTTAATTTAAGAAATGAAGCACGGGGCACGCAACTAAAATTTAGTTCTTTGTCAATATTTAATAAATGTTAATTAATGACAATTTTAAAATTAATTATCTATTCAAAAAATCTACTCAAGCATAGATTCTTAGGTCAAGTTCAGTAATAAAAAGCAGGAAGATTCTAAAAACAAACAAAAAAGAAACAGAAAATACAGCTGTCCTGGGAGAAATATTATCAGAATATAACAACAATATAGTGCATATATTTTTACGCTACAACGTAATATTTCAGGTTTTAAGTCCTTCAAGAATACCCATCCCATTTAAATGTAGGTTTGTTTCTATACTTTTCTATTTAAATTTAGGTTTGCAAATGAAATCAAGATGGCCAAAGGTACTTTTTTCCCCCCTCTGAACTATTCACCCAGCACCAATTTAAAGCCAAACCACACTGAAATTACCATTTCTTTATAAAATGAGTATTTGAGGTGCGCAGAAATAAAAACAGCTCTATTTTCTGACTACATCTGTAGGTTCTTCCTTCTTAGAACACAGTAAAGTCTTCGATGAAGTTTTATTACTAAAAGAAACACACAGAACACTATTGATGCTCTCTGTGTCCAGTGGTAAACTGTAAGCTGGTTTTAACATAGAGTCCTTCTCCTTTCAAGTGTTTGTGTGTGTGTGTGAGAAACTGTACATCTTGACATAGGACTCTCAAAAGTAAACCTAGAAATATAACATATAGTAATTTTAGCAAAATATTGTACTTGCAGAAATGAGCTAGATGTATGAAAATTAAATTGACTACTATCCTTTGTGAAAAGTGAATAAGCATACACAATTCACACTCTTAACGGAATACCTGCTCTCCTAGTAAAAGGATATCTAATAGATAGCTGGAAATCTTGTGTAGTAAAATAGATAGATAGTTGGAAACCAAGGATATAGCAGGTTTTAGTAGAGTTAATACTGCCCGCTTACTAGTAAATGCATCTCAGCACATCAGGAAGAAACAGTCATCAGTCACATTGTTTTTCTTTCTCTTTGATAC